TTTGAATTAAATTGAATTAAAAGCATTAGTATTAATAAATTTCCCTCATAGAAGGGTTTAGGTTTAGATTTTAATATACTCTTAATACTCATTTTTTAAAAAAATTGACTTCATGCATCTTTGTTCATTTTCAAAATGAAATTAAAGGGATTGGAAAATTTTTAAAAATAATCTCATTCCCTACATTAAGACCTGAGCTAGGTTGTTCTTTGTACTCAGCTGGACCATGTGCCTTGACACACAGCTGGGCTGGGTGGACTGCAGGTAGGCAGCATGTCCCAGGAAGCACCACGGCTTCTCCAGGACTCAAGCTCTCCCTCATTCAGAAGCAGAAGAGCACAGTGTGGTTAGGGACTTAGCTCTGGACTCAGGTGGACTTGGACTTAATCCTAGTTCTGCCATTTATAGACACAGCTCAAGAACCTAACCGCTCTAGGCCTCAGTCTTGCCATCTGTAAGATGGAAGTATTATGGGGTCTGCCTGGAGGAGTCATTGTGAGGATTCAGAGAGAATTTGTGGAACATGCTCAGTGTAGTGCCTGGCACATGGCAAGCACCCAGAAGTAAAAAGCCGTAGCTGTTAGCTTTTGCCATTCTTAACCTCCTGACATGGTCTCAAAGAGGATGCTGCCTTCAGTCATTCAATGGCATAGGTATCATATACTCTGCACTGAGGGGTGTCATCAGAGGTGGTTGGTCACACAAGAGCTTCCTGCATCCTCAGCACATTTCTGAACCATTGTGACAGGGGTCAAAGGGAGGCTCTGAAAAGATATGCAATGTGCCCAAGGGGTAAGGAGGAAGAGCCAATGAGAAGAGGCTATGGTCCTTCTAGAGTCTCCAAGCAGCTCCCCAGTAAGTCAGCCCTAGGCCCAGGCCCACCAAGACCACAGCACCCAGGAGTGGAAGGAGTTGTGAGCATCCCTCGGGCTGCAGGGAGAGGGCCTCATCCCCTGCCCTGGGCCCAGAGGGTATTCTGGTGCATCCAAGAGGATGCAGAGCCCCACACCTCACCCTCTAGGAAAACTGCGCCATCACAGTGGGACAGTTTCTCTCCAGTAGGTTTGAGCACCAAACCTAAAGGTTCAGCCTTAGAAAACATACCTCCTGGCTCCACTCCAGCAGCAAGAACAAGCATCTGTTAGTCCTGGCTCATACGATGGGGCTTGTGGTGAACCCCAGGCCTCAGCGGGAGCTCAGGCCACAGGAAAGGTGATTAGTTTCTGGCCTGGAGACCCTGAGGGCCTGTCCCACAGTGATCACCATGACACTGTCTTCAGCATTCTCTCAGGAAGATCTGTGTGCGGTAGCCAGTGGTTTCAGGAAGCTAACGTCCTTAGGCTGCTCTCCCTGTGCTATGCTAGAATCTGTAAGAAACTGGGGTGCATTCCTGTGGTCCATGTTCAAAAACTCTTAAGGTAGTAATTAGGGCAAAATGGATATTAAAATTCTATAACTGGGGTTGTATGTTGCCCTCTGCATGCCCTCAGCCACTTATAAGCTGTGTGACTTCAGGCAAATCACTATCCCTCTCTAGGCCTCACTTTTCTTCATAAAATAGGGATGATAACGCGCCTCTTCCCTGGGTTGTTGTGAGGATGTAATGAGGGAAGGGGTGCAGTGCTTGGCACACAGTACAGCTCCAGTGAAGCTGATTCCCTGTTCCTCTGCCCTGTGTGGTCTCAGCAGATAGAGCACAAATGTAAGGCAAAAGATGCTGCCATGAATGCTCAGAGGCAGGGCAACTCAACCCTCAACCCTCACACAAGATGGTCCTGAAATTCAGCCACGCATTCTGCAACCGGCACTCCATACCAACAACCAAGCCCCCTTTGGGAGCTGGGGACACAGAGACAGAGACTTTGTCACTGCCTCCAGGAAGCTCACAGACTTGGCATGAAGGACATCTACTCAGCGGGTTCAGTGGAATAGAGGACCGCAGAGGGCCTGGGCAGGCCCTACAGAGCCTCCTCACCTAGGCTGAGGGACCTGGAGGAGGGCCCTTGAACTAAATCTGAAAGGGTAAGTAGGAGACAAGTAGGTGAAGCCGGAAGGAGTCAAGGCAGAAGACAAAGTGCGCAAAAGTGCAGAAAGAGAGAAAGCAGGGGACTACGCCTTGGGACACGAGGGCTGGGGTTGGGGCTGATGTCTGAAGACAAAAGACAAGAGGGCATCTATTTTCAGGACGCGCAGCACAAAGATTGCTGAGGGGCTGGCGATCACGCTGCCCAGCTTAGAGGCTCATGATTCTGATCTCCCAGGGAGACACTAGGTCCCTGAGTGGCGATTCCAGCCTGGCGGTGCGGAAACTCATTCCTCCAGCGGAGTTGTCAGACACACGTGGTTGGACCTGCGCGCGTCTGGGTGGAACCGGTCGCTAGGCAACAGTCCCCGCCCCGGCAGTGCTCTCACCGCCTCCCTGCCCCGCCCACAGTTGCTACCCGCGCGCCCTCTGCCGGCGGCGCTCTGCCAGTGAATCCGGCGTCAGGGAGCGCCAGCCTGCTGCCTTCCAGGATATTCTCCAAGAGCCAAGCCCCACTGTTTGGGATGAGTAGCGCTTCTCCTAACCCCTATGCCCACTCAGTCGCGCTGCTTCCCATTCTTTTCCAGCTTCTCAGGAATTATGCCTGGATCTGGTCGAGTCCACCGCCATAGGACCTCGGCTGGTCACCCAGTGAGGGAGGAGTCTGGAGAGGTGGCCAGGCAGTTTGCATTGAAGATATTGGCCCCAGAGCAGTAGGGAGTAATGGGAGACATGTGAACAAGGCAGCAACGTGAGCAGATCTGGTGCTCCAGTGCTCATGCTGAAGCTGCTGCACAGCCTGGAGCTGCAGAGCATTCAGGAAGCATGGACTGGATGACTGGGAATGCTACAGGAAACAGGTCCACTGACCTCACCAGGGTAAGGAACATTGTGAGAACACAGTAAAGGATAGGCTGGGGCCCTCTGAACTTGGGGTTCACACCAGAGGTAAGGAAGACAGAGCGCCCACCCTAGCCCACAGCTGATCTTTGCATCCCAGTGGGGCTGCAGGAAAGATGCTGACCAGCCGAGATTCATCAGATCACAGGGCTATAGGAAAAGAGTGACCCTCTCCTCCTTGGAGTCCTGTGGCACAGATCCCTACAAAGGGATAACAGGAGATTGCTCTTCTCAGCAGGCAGAGTTAACCCCAGGCTAAGCATGCTGTTTCCTTGCAATGGTCTACAATGGTGTGGCACCAGTGTGGTCAGACAGTCTCCTCCTACCCCTGTGTGTGTTAATCAGAAAGAGCTTTACTGATTAATGCACTTTGACTGAAAAACCTCTCAAAACATGAAGTCTAAGTTAAAAGATCAGGCCCACCTGGTTATACTGACAGGTCAGGTGTCTAGTGAGGGCAAGGTGTGAGGCCAGTTGGAACCAGAAGCCAGGTCTTCCTCCACCCTCCCAGGGCTCCTGCAGCGCTGTGGACCCAGGGATTGAACCAGCACTGGTGCGACTAATAAGCTTCAGCCTTAAAGCCAGGCGTGTCCCAAATCACTGCATCATCAGGTCCAGACTGAAGCCAGGGCTGACCTGTGGGCCTCAGCATGCCTGGGTTTACCCTGCTGAAAGTACTTTGTCTGTAGGGCAGTAACTGGATAATTCCCATGACTGTACCTGCTTCAATGCCTTTAAACAGAGCAGGCCCAGGCTCTGGACCCCAGCCACCACACTGATGTTGAAAGAACAAATAGAATAATTCTCAGTGATCTTCCTGGCACCTGTTCTAGGAGGATACCTAGACGCCCTGCCCACAAGACAAGAAGCAGGTCAGCCTGTTCTCCTGGGTGCCAGTCCTTCCTTGGACAGAGAACAGGATACTGTCCCTCACTCTGGAATCTTCACTTAAGGTCCCCTACCCTCTGTGTCCAACTGGGAGTGTTTATCTCTACCTGACTCATCTTGCCATTCAGATGCAGTGAGATCCTGACTTCTCCAGGCTTCCTCTGGCCACCCCATGGCCCCCTGTACCAGTCCCACTGGATTGTCTGTTTCTCCTGCTAGATTCCATGCTTCTCATGGGCAGAACTGATGACTGCCAGGCTCTGAATCTAGTAGAGATGCAGGACGTTTTTTAAATGAAGGTGCAAGTGAAACCAAGGGGAGAGCCCAGAACTCTGAAACACAAAAATAGGGTCAGGTTGTTTTTTAAAACCATGCCCCTCTGCAGGGACCATAAAAGAAGCTGGGAAGGGAAACTAAAAGAAATCTTTACATTTTATTTGCCTGCACCAGATTTCCTTAAGAGGTCTCCACTGCTTTAAAAAAAAATTAGTAACAGCAGTAATAATGGTAATAAAAACTATCCCAGCCCAAGGCTCTCACTTGATAACTGAAGTAAAGGGAGAGGGAGATAGAACAGGGAGGGACTTGCTTAAACAAGTACGTAGAAAGGGCAAGCCAACTGGGCATGAACGCAGGCCCCGAACTCTGCTATCCAGTGCTGCCTTGCACCAGGATTTAAAGAGAGAATTTCACAAGGATTTTCACTGCTAATTTTATTTCAACAGTCAATAGTCCCCAGAGAAGAATATGGATGATCTGGAAGTTCCACTCTGTTCTCTGAGAACTGCATTAGTGCTTAAGAACAGCCTACATTTTAAAGTTAGCAATCACTACAAAAACATCAAATAGTAAAACTTTAAAGATTTTTTTAAACCAAAAATAATTCCTATAATGGCTTAACCTTTATGGAAGGGAGGTGAAGCAGCCCCAGCAGTAGAATGCTTACTGGTAAAGCCCCTTGGAGAAGGGGTGAGGGGCAGCGGCCAGGCACACCATATGAGACAGAGCAGCAGGGAAGGACACTGCACAGCCCTGGCCCTGGCTGCTCCCCCCAGGCACCAGGCGGAGGCTCAGACAGACAGTGCCTCCTGTCCTGGAGTGGGGCCTGAGGGAATCAAAGACCGAACAGCAGCACAACCCACTTAAATTCACTCCTGAATGTGAGCTTCCACTAGCTCCCCCACTCCTCAAAGCCCTGGCCCTTCCCTGGTAACTTCATCCTCCATGTTCCTCTTCACTCCTACATTTTAAGACTGAGAAAACTTAGAAATCTCCCTCCTTCCTCCTACCTTAAAGTGGGAATTAACTATCATCTTATGCCTATCACTACCCTTTCACCCTGCACATCACTAAACCAGACAAGAAAATCATTGTTCTAACAGCATCCCCAAGGCTCCACTCTGCAGGGCAGAGGGCCTGGGCCTAGTTGCGCTGCTGCTGAGATGAAGGCTGGTTGGGCTCACGCGGCAGGTCCGCATCCTGGTTATCTGTGAGACAATGAAGGGGCTGGATTCAGAAAAAGGAAAAATGACCAACTTTCAGATGTAAATGTTCCATTAGGCATTACCATCATTCCTGCTCCCTCTGAGAATTAATTTGCATTTAATTTGCTAGGTATCAGGCGACTGGCCACACGATACAAACCCAAGTTCAAACTCCAGCTCTGCTCGTCACAAGCTAGGTGGCATGAAGGAAGCTACTCTGCAGCTCTGAACCTCAGCTTCTTCTGTCATATGAGATGATTTCCACCTTGCAACATCAGGCAGCATGGGGATTAGGAGAAACAGTGAGAGCTGATGATTATAATGCTTTCATCACTTCTGGTTCTGTTGGTCCTCACAAAAACCTCATGGGACAAGGACCATGTGGTAAGGACCCCAAGTCCACCTGCCGGTATTTAAACTGAGGCAGCAGGAAATGAAGTGACTCGACCAAGATCACACGGCTGGTTGTGCCGAGCCTGGACTCAGACTCAGGTGGTCTGGCCCCAGGGCCAGCATGTTCAAGCCACACTGGACCATCTCTCCAGTTCAGAGGTCTATGCATCTCACACACAAGCGGGCAACAGGCCTCAGTCTCTTTTCCTGAGGAGCCTCAGAGGAAGATTGAAATGAAAGGGGAAAATCCTGGAACCTGTAAAGCTGCAAAGGCCCTCCAAAGAAAACCCAAAGAATTTCCACATCCAGAATTTCATTGACCCTCACAACAACCCTGTGAAGGGCCCATTTTACAGATGAGAAGACTGTGGCCTAAAGGAGGGTACAGGTGCCCAGGGGCCCAGCTGGAATGGAGAGTCTCCGCTCTGTGGTCTGGTTCTCTTCACAGAGTGGCCTGGGGCAGAGGACTCATCCCTACCAGCCCCACCAGCTGCGGCTGCTGCTCCAGGCTCAGCACCTGCCGTTTCCCGGGCCAGAAGGGCCCCACCCCAGCCCGAGAGGCCTGGCACCTCTGGCCTCCTGACACCACATGCACACCGTCCTCCACGTCTTTTTGCCCACAGTACTGATACGGTGAGGGAATTAACGTTAGACTTGGAGCCAGATAGAGAATTTTGTTGAAACCTGAGCTCTGCCATTTACAAGCACAAGAACCTTTCAGGGTCCTATTGGTTTCCTCACCTGAGAATGGGCCCCCACCTCCCTTCGATGCTCACGTTTGGAATTTTGGGGGAGGGTGGAAGGAAAGAGCTATCGCAGGACCCAGCACATTTTACATTCTGCTGCCCATTTCTCTTCTCTTCACATCCACCTCAGATTAGGCTCCCCTTCCTCCAGTGTTCCTGGCTGCCCCCGGAGCTGGAAGACTGGCGCCCCCTTACCAGCGGGCTCCCTTTCCACATCCGACAGGACCGTCAGAGAGAAAGCCGGCGGCGGCGGCGGCGGCGGCGGCGGCGGCGGCAGCGGGGGCGGCAGCGGCGGGGGCGGCGGCGGCGGCGGCGGCGGCGGCGGCGGCGGCGCGAGTAAGTGGAGCGCAGGTAGGAAGCCCGGCGGGAGGAACTGGGGTTGCGGCGGCGGCGGCGGCGGGTAGTAGCTTGGCTGGAAGTCTCCCACCGGCTCCGGCACCTGCAGGGCACACTCAGCAGACAGAGCGGGGAGAGGGGAGGCCAAAGGCCCTGGTCAAACGTGTTTCGTCCTCCTCGGTGGGCGCCCTCCATGGGGTATATTCACCTCTGTGGCCCAAATACCTGGGCACGGGGCGCTTGCAACAGGGTGTTCAGCAAAGACACGCCAAATAACTAAGGCAAGAAGCAATACAGGCACCTCTCTGCGTAGCCTGGGGAACAGCCACAGGGATGCACTGACTGAGCCCTTCTGCATCTCCGTAGACCCATGACCTCATCCCATCCTTATGACCCTCGGAGGGAGGTTCTACACCATCCTCACTGTCAGTGGCATGCAGCTACAGCCCAGGGCCCCAGAGCTGATAAGAGGCAGGGGCAGAATGGGATCCCAAGTCGGCCCGACTCTCCTGCTCTTGTCTAGGGAAGGGTCCAAATGCATCGCAATTACTTGGGGTCCCATTTTTCTAGCACATGCTGCAACTCAGACCCAAGAGTCAGGGGCCTTCTGGGGTCCTATTCTAACGCGACAGAAGACCTGGGTGTAGTGTAGCTGTTACTGAGGCAAGGGAGGCTGAGTGACCTCAGGAAGGGGCTTTGGTGGTCAGCCCTTCCGTGTTTCTGTTCCTCCCTCAGAAGATGGAAGCTAACCCCAAGCCACAGGACCACAAGGCCGGAATGAGGGGATCTAAAGGAGTGATGACTACAAAGCTCAGAGCTTCACTGAGAAAGACATGAATGTACTAAAAATACTAATGAATTTCAGATGCCCTTCCTATTCTTGACTTCTCCACCCAGATACGTCAGCACTTCACGAGCTAGTGAAGAATGGAGAACCCCAGTGTTCTGTGGATATTCTGAAGTGCTCCCGAAGTGTTCTTTGTCAAGGGAGTCTGAAAAACCCTGCATACAGCCCCACACTGGTGAGTCACACATGAGCCTATTATGAGGCTTCAAGGCAATCTTAGGCTAACTCAGTTCCTGACTGAACCTGACTACAAGGAACAAAAGAAAGCCCACTTTCAAGTACCTACTACATGCCAGACACTGTGCCAGGCACTTTACATGCATTACAACTTATTCAATCTATCAACGGCCCTATGAGATGGGCATTTATACCGCATTGTACAGACTAAGAACCTGAGTAGGTCCTCAGAGGTCAGTGACCTCCCTAGGCCATATAGCTAGTGAACTACGGAGGTAGGATTGGACCCTTTGTCTGTCCAACCCCAGGCCTATACTCTTTTGTAGGAAGAGAAAAGAGAAGGTAGAAAAGCAGCAGGTAGGGCAGGGACAGAAATAGAATGTAGAAGACATCCCTGGGGAGTATCTCAGAGCCTGGCCAGGGTGCAGCAGGACAGGATGAAAGCAGTTCACAGGCTCTTAGGTTCGAAACAGCTTCACAAATAAATTGCCTGATCCTCTATCCAGACGTGAAGAGGGTGGGAAGGGGGGTTATTAATGCTTTAATTCCAAGCTGCTCAGCCAAGTCTCTCCCTAGATCACAGCTACTGCCTGGGGCCTGTGGTGGCAGCATAGGCCCAGATAAACCAACTGAGATCACACTCCTAACAAAAGGCCGTCTGGCAGGCCTGTCAATCAAAGCGCTACCCTGGACGCCAGGTTCCATCCAGACTTTTGTGTGAGCAGACGGTGGGTGCGTGCTCCACTTGGCCAGGCCCCTCTCTTTGTGTGGATGCTAGAGATGCTGTGCTCTCTCTGGGCTGCAATGGGGTGGCCAGCACCCACATATTTCAGGCAAGGCAGGGTTGGTGGTGAGAGTCAAGGGCCATGTTTGCTCTACCTCTGCACGACACACCTAAATTAGCACAAAGCTTTCTGGATACCAGATCAGGGCAAGTGAGGCAATCATCCCACTCTGTTGCTGATCAGCTGTGTAATCTGAATCCCAGTCTTCACTCACCAGTTCTGTGACCTTGGACAAGTACTTAACTTCTGAGCCCTGTTCTACTCTATGAAGTAATAAAGCACGCCTTGAGGATTCACATAAGGTCAGTAGGCACTTGGAAATTATCAAGACCACTGGTTTTCAAAAATTTTTTCCCTTGAATCAATGAAAAACTATTTATAAGTAAAACTTTACAATATCTAAAAGAGAAAGAAGAGGAGCTGCAGGGGACTGCTGTAGGAGTGGGAACCCAGTGCCCTGCATGCCTGACCAGTCTGGACAGAGCTAGAGCCCCCTCATACTGGCTCTACACTTTGCAGCTAATGACTCTCAGTTTGGAAATATTAAGCTTTCATCTTTCCTCTTAATCACCTCCCACATGAAGCCAAAAAAGCCTGCCCTTTCCTTAGTCTTCTCCACCTTTCATACGAGGGAAATATCTCTGTATCATCCGTGTTAGGCTTTTAGCTCTGGGGGAGGGAGTAAAGGTAATGATGGTCTACATTTCCATGAACTTGAGCTGCATTTGAGCCAACCTCCCCAACAGGTCCAGTTTCATGGGGCCAAAGTCAGGACTGGTCACCCAGGCCTTTCACTATCCTGCAGTCTTCCTGCCTAAAGGAAGAGGGCTTTTAACACTCTTGGCTTGGAAGGAGCTGGTAACTAATGCCACAAAACCTGATCACTCAACTCATACCTCACACAACAGGGATGGCCTGACTCTTACACACTCAGTACTCAAAACTCCAGACTTACAGAGCACACCAGTTAGTAAATGACCACTGACCTTACAAAAGGATTAAGTTTCTTTCATTCTTTCAACAGATATTTACTAGGGTGACTGGTGTTTGGGGGTAAGTTTCCATATTTTTCATGATTAAGCTTATATACCACTTCTTCATGTAAGCCCTCTGCAGGGGCAAGTGGACCATACTTTTGGGCGGGGTACCCACATCTGCTCTTGACTCTGCCCTAAACTGTTGGCTCCAGGAAAACGACATTTCCTGCCTGGTACCAAGAAAATGAAGGGCCCTTTTAGCATCAGCATTCCATGAATCACGGTGAGTGGTCAGTCAGTCAGTGTTACTGTGTGGCTGTTCCCCACGCTTATCTGAAATGTGTCCATATTCCTTCTTGCCTGAGCTCCCACAGCCTTTCAGCCGACAGCTCTGAAAAGCACCTGAGACAGCCCGGGCTGATGTACCAACACGTGAACAGACCTGTCTACCCGTGCACATTCCCAGAGGTGCTTACGTCCAAGGTCAATGTTGTATCCCTCCTACCAGTGCTCAGGGCCTGGCACAGAGTGGACACACCAATTGGCTTCCTGGGATTGAGGATCTGTAAAAGCAGCAAGGGCGGCTGGGATAAGGAGGAACGCAGAAACTCAGGAATGGGACTCACCAAGGCTGCCCCACAGTAGTGGCTGCATGACGCATGCTGGTAGCCCTGCTGCAGGGGGATCCCTGTGGTCAGAGCAGCATCCTGGTAGCCCAGCCGGACTGGGTAGTAGGGGTGCATGCTGGAGCGGCTGGGATACAGCTCCGGAGGCTCTCTCTCCAGGTGCTCAGACCCTACGACACGATCCGAGTGCCTGCTCAGAGGAAGCCCTGAAGAGGCAAGTGTGAGGGAAGTGTTAAAAATACACAGAGCCAGGAAAAACAGCATTACATTCCTGTCCAAAGGTAGTAGTATAATAACCACTCATATCCATTTACAAAGAACACCTACACCCATTATGCTTTTGACCCTCCCTGTTCTTTAAACCCTTCAACCACATCCCACTGCTCTTAGAAAACGTCCTGGGCACAGCCATGAAGCCCCATGCCGGCCTCCACTCCAGCTTCCGCATGTACTATAACCTAGCAGCTTCTTTCTCATCCACCCCAAGGCCTTGCAGATGCTTGGAAAGCTTCTCCCCCTCACTTTGCCTCCTCAAGTCCACAGCATGCAGCTCCTTTCTACTCTCCCGGACCACTGCCAAACCATCAGTTACTAGAGCTCTATAAATCTATTTGTGTGATTCTTTGATCAGTGCTGTCCCTCCCAGAAGAGCAAGGTCCTTGAGGGCAAGGAATGTGCCTTTACCCCCTCATCCCTTCATTGCTATTGTCTGGCACATAGTTAAGTGCTCAGTCCCTGTTCACTGAGAGATGGAGCAAAGCAAGGCACTGTGTCCTTGGAAAGATATCCTCCTAGGATTGCTGTTTTGGGTCTCTTCCCCATCTATCTCCCTTAGGACCTAGATTTTCCCTAGAATGTTCCAGAACACAGAAATAGCCTTTACAGAGCATCCAAGCCAGTCTTTATCATATAGAGGGGAGAGACTGCTACAGAAGGAAGAAATTTGCCTGGGGTGACAGCAGCCCCCTGCCTCCTGCCTCAGATCTGTGCTCTTTCTACCATACTGCCATTGGTAAAATCACGAAAACACGTATCTGCACCCAAAGGGAGCTCATTTTTAAAAGCCTCCTATCTACGTGGGACTTGAAGCAGCAAGGCACAGGAAACAATGTGATTTACACACATATGGTGGGAGGGGAGAGGAAAGTCTCAACAATATCTCAACAGAGATACTGTTCACTCCTAGAGAGCAGAGCAGCTGCCCCATTCCCATGCGCTGGAATGAACTGGAGGCTGTGCACCTGCATACTGCCAGGGAAGGCTTTGGGGTGGGGCCTCCAAAGCACAGAAAGCAGGAGAAAGAAAGGTGCGCAGTAGTAGCTATGAGACCGACCCACAGGAAGTCTGGGGGAGGAGCCTCCAGTCTGACAAAATGGCGGGAAGGAGTGAAGGGGGGGTTGGGCGAGCTCATAGGCCCATGGAAGTCCTCTGGGAGGAGCCTCCAGAGTGTGGCCTGGGAAGGAAGAGCACGCAGGCGCAATCAGTCCTTGCTCTGGCCCACCCGCGGGATGTCCTATGGGAAGAGCTTGCAGCCTAAGAAAAGGGCGGGAAGAGATGCGCAAGCGCAGCAGGTCTGGCCCCCGCCCCCCAACCCACATCCCCCGCCCCTTCAAGCATCTCTGTGGAGAAGCCACAGCCAAGTCGACTGGAGGCCATTTTTTTTTTACAAGATGTAAAGGCTAAAACTGTGGCTAGATGTTAAAAAACCCTCGGAACCACCCATTCCTTTCTCTTTTTACTTTTTTGCAAAAAGGAACCCAACCTAAATCCCTACTTAGAGAAAAGTTCCCCCAAACAAGGTTTCCCCAGGAAAGCATTTTCCCCACCCCTACCCCAAGGGCCCATCCTGGCGGGATCCGGGTAGGCCTGGGCCCCAGCGTGCGGGGCTTGTGGGGTGGTGGGGGAGGGCTGCAGCCCGAAAGGAACCGGCAGTGAGTGGACAAGGCCACTTGGAGCCTGGAGAGCTTACCGAAGTCGGCGAACGGCGGGCTAGGCAGCGGCCCGTGATGCTCCGGACGGCCGGGGTGTCCTCTGCCTGCGGCCTCCATCCCGATCTGGGGCCCTACAGAACTGGGCACAGCCACTGCGGCGCGCTCGCTTGGCCCCAAGTGGCCGCAGCCACGGCCACCCAGAACTGGCTGGAAGGGGCTCAGGCCAGGGCTGGGACCCGGTGGTGACCTCTCAGGGAAGCGGGTAGCCACGCAGCACTCGGGGCCCAGCTCCCTGTCTCCTGAAGTGACAGGCGGAGGCACCAGGTGGCTTGAGCCCGGGGCAGCGGCCACGGCCCCAGAGGGCAGCGGGGGCCCCTGCCCACTCAAGGACACCTCCTGCACCTCCTCGGAGGCCTGCTTCTTGAGCACATTCTGTGCAGCCATGATCTTCTGGCGCTCGGTGATCAGGAAGCACTTCTCGCAGGAACACTGCTTCCAGCGGCACTTGCCCGCATGGCCCTTGACTGGCACCAGGAAGCCATGGTTCCGGCACCGTGAGCACTTGGGGGTGCGCAGCATCTTCTCCGCCAGCTTGGCAGGATTTGCCTTCAGAGCGCAACCGCCACCTCTGGGAGCTGCAGAGCAAGTGGAGCAAGGATGAACAGCGCCCCACAAATCCCTGGCGCTGGGGATGTCTGATACAGTTGTAACAAAGTGGCTCCCTGTACATTACAGCACCTGCAGCAAGACCCTTGCATTTTCCCTCCTTTTTGCGGTGCAAAATTTGGAGTTTTGTGCCTTGGCTAATTACATGCAAGGGATTGGGTTGAATAAATTCCTCACGGAATGCTATTGCATGTATGTCATCTGGGTAATCTGAAGTTTTAGGCATTTAATTTTCCAAACTTTATATTCCCGCCAAACCAGAGAAAGTATTTTGTAAGTTCAAAAAAAGGCAGGGTGATATGCAACGGTCCACAAATTTAAAGCTCCAGAGGAACTAAGCTCTTGGTAAACCCATTCCAGCCATTCCAAGAGGCAAACCATCTTTCTCCTTTGAAAAGTTGCTACTTCTGCTGAATTTAATTTCTCTTTCTTGCAAAGAAGCAGCCAATCAGTGATGCTTTCAGAACATTCTCAAGAGCTCAGTGCGGTGTGATAGTTGCTTAAGGGTGTGCCCTTACAGTGATTCCCATTTCTTAAGAGTCTTGTTGGTATAGGAATACATTTCTGGAAGATGGCATATTGCTGTGGTCGATGCCTTCCAAAGCATACTTAGAAGGCTTTAAAGTAAAATGGACTTAGGATATTTTATTACAAGCTTGAATCATTGCCTGACTTTGCTATGAATTTAGTTATTCCTGTAAAGCAACCCAAATCTTGGGACACCTGAAAAGTGGCACAAACTTCATAGTTTCCCAAGGCTTCTAAATTAATTCATTTTCTTGTTTGATAGAATTTGTGACACTCTGAGGTCTTTTTTTTTTTAGACCCCAAAATGGAAAAAAAATAGGCTGTTAACACAGAAGTTGAAAAGCTTATAATCATAGAATCAGTCATATTTAAGGAGGTAGTTATGGTTAATACCTGGCTAAAAACATGTGAATATAAAATTTACCTCTCTCCAAAATTCTCTTTCTGATAGCAGAACAGTAGAAGCCGAGGCCTGGCGTCCACCCTGATTTTCCTGAATTCTTGGTTGCGGCGGTATTTGCATTTCTCACCTGCTGCCTGACAATAGGAAATGGCTGCCATTTCTGAGGCTGATGAGAGACTGGGAAGCTGAAAAGAGGTTTGTAAAACCTTTCTCTGCTTTAAGGAAATATATCCCTCATCTTAATAAGAGAGCAAAAGTATATGCTTCCTGTATTATTTGGCCCATCAGGAATTTCACTGGTAATTTTACTTCTGTTTAAGAGATCTCAGTTTGTCTCTGCTTTGTTCTAACACCCTCTGTCTTAATATTTGATTTAAAAAATGTTGTCCTATAGATAAAAGGACAGGCAAGCTCTTTTTCTGACTCCACCCAATTCACAATGGCTAATTTTTTCACTGAGTTTGTCATTTGAAAATAGCACTTAAAAATCAAATTTCAATACTACTGTTAAAAAATCTGGGGGACAAACTGCATTATCTCATAGCACTACAAATTATAAGGTCATTTTCTGCATTATCAAATTTAAATTTTATCATCAGGTGACACTGAATGATAAGGCCCAAAAAAGAAAACCACTCTCATTTACATTTCATGCTTGATCACCCAAGTACTCTTCATTTTCCTATTAATGATTTAAAGGAAAATCCTATTCAAAGACAACTATTTGAATTAACGTATTTTAGCTTTGTTAACTACAAAATGTTTCCATATTTACTTCATAGCTTTAGGGGGAAAATATACCCAAGATGATGTGAAATTTGCATAGTGCTTTGAGAACATTAATAAGCAACCATAAATCTTTTTAATCAGTAGTCACCTTATAAAATGTAGAAACCAAGGGTTTATACAGTAAACAAATCTAAGAAGAAGAAAAAAAAGACTAGTTTATTTCTCTCTTCCCCCAAGTCTCAATTGTGTAGGTATTCCAAAAAAGCTTTATTCTACTCTTAGAAATTTAGACAAATTGATAGTTTTGTTTTATTTAGGTTAATGACTACTTCCTATGCTGCTTTTTTCTTTTAATGTATACATTCTTTAAATTTTTATTTAACAAGATGGTAACATGATGTAAAAGTGACAAACTGAAAGTTAGAAAAGGATGGGAGCCGTAAATACACAGTGGACCCCTTCCTTCCCGACACCTAAACCTTAGGATATTTATGTTTAAGGAAGTTTGCATCATCATGAGCAATGGTTTATAAAATAACAAGTTATAGTTACTGAGGAATCATCAGTTTGACTAACCACAAAGGAGGTTCGTGGTCATAACTGACTCCCAGCTTCAGATATGGCCCCTTTTCCCTCAGAGTCGCATGTTTCCTACCTTGAGTAATGCCTCTGATTCTTCAGTTAATATGATTACAATTGGTACTGTTTAATTCATACTCATTTTAAAGAGCCTTAGATTATGCAGTGCATGAGGGTATCATTTATAATCATTAAATATTGCATGCACTGTAATGTTTCCTTACTGGTAGCACACAACAGTAAAGAAGGGCTTTTTGTCTATAGCATCTTTCCCCTAACAGCTGTAACCCAGATATCTGCTATCTTCCCCTTCTTTAGGCTTTCTCTAGTGAGCAATGGAAACTTCATTGAAGATTTTGTAGGGGATGGAGCGGAGGATTTATAGGACACATCATATAGCAGATGCTTTAAAATGCTATCTTAGCATTTCTGTTCTCTGAAGATAGTGCTCTGTCGTGCCACACCCACTGGAAAGAAACTGGTCTGTTGCCTTCCGTATCTCCTCCCTACACCTTTGCTTCCATCTCTCTATTCCTTCTTTCCTTTAATTGTATATTTAAACTTATACAAGCCTATAACTTGACTCATAAATAATCCTAATATGGATAGCAAAGTTCTATTTTAGAATAAATATGGAACAACTGTTAGAATAAAAAAATTTTTTAAAGCAGGAGAGGTGTGTCCCAGACAGAGGGAACAATATGTTTGAAGGCCTACAGTGGAGTTACAGTATAGTAAGGTCAAGAGACTGGAGAGAGATAAGGTATAGAAGTTAAACAGTAGCCATGTCAGGGAGGGAGTCCTTGAGGAAAATTATCAGAGTTTCTATCTAAGACTGAAGAGAGGAAATGACATGGCAGAGCCAGGCCAAGCTAGAACCCACATATGCAGATATCTAGTCCTGCCCTTAGTTTTTCTTTCAGAAAGCAGGAAAAACAATAGGTAACCAGGACTCACATAGGTATTACAAGATTAAAATGGAGTTGGGTGGGGTTTTCTTTGGGGTCGTTGTTCCAGGCAGGGCACACACCTGAGGCTAGCCATGGCCCTGAACTAATACTATGCTAGGCAGGGTTGTTTCTCTTAACCCTGGAGCCCTGCTAACTGGTTCATAGGACCTCTTCTAGGAATCCAAGAGACTAGGCACAAAGCAGCAGTGATGGAAGACAGAGGAGTGAGAGAAAAGGAGAGTGAGATGAAATTAAAGCAGCTATAGAGGTTGTACAGGTAAAGACAGCACCATCTGGGCAGAGGGCATGCTCAAAGTGGCATCGTTAACTGAGTTAGATCCAATAGTACTGACATTTGTTTCATTTTTACTTGCTAATTTGATGAAAAACTTCTTTACACACTCAAACTTTCACAATATCTGTAACTGATTACATGTATTTTTGTTAGCATTAACAAATTTTTATGAATTTCAAGAATTTTTTTGTCTTAAAAGATGAGAGGCACATTTCCCTATAAATACATTGTTAATAGGGAATAATAGTTTTAATATCTCTGTTCTTTGGTAAAATGCAAATTCAATTTAACACAACAGACATAAATTTAATGCCAACACATGCAAGGCACTGTTCATAGTAAAATCAGAGTCAAAGAGAACAAAGAAGCAAAGAAAATTAAATTGATCTTCCTTTTCTATGTATGTTCCTTGTCTAGTTTCTTTTCTAGAACAATAAATCATTTATATTTATCAAAACAAACTAACAGAATTTTCCTCTGAATTTTGCTTCTATGAGAATAGCAAGCAGATAATAGGAATTTATCTTGCAAGAGAACTTTTCATTTTATGCCACAGGGTCAATACAAACTAAGTACATGTTGTAACTGTAAACAGATGGCAAGAAATATTGCTCTAGAAATAGAGTGAGTGAGATCTGATCACTAATTATCTGCGTTACCTTGGCTAAGTCACATAACTTCTTTGTACCTCAGCAGCAGCAGTTAGTAATATTTGTATAATATGCTGCAAGTTCCAAAGTGTCCCACATCCATGCATTTAATGATATTAATATGTAATAAATGCTTACAGCTTTGCAGGTAAAGGGGTTCAAGGCAAGTTTCTCCAAAATATGCTACTTTAGCACATGGACTATTTTGAACTGAAGGCAATCAAGACCATGGGAGCTCAAGAGAAACTTTTGCCCCTCCCTTAACTACCTAAAAGAATCTAGATTGAGGGTCTTTTCCAGAATGAGAGTTCTTACTAGAGATAATTTTATCAGAGTGACCCATCTGTATGGCAGGGAAAACCTCTATTACCAAACATCTGCTCTTCTTTTTGCCCTGTGAATTGGACTTTTCCCCTTTGAGGCCCCAGGCCTCTATCCTATTCTTTAGCTTAGGACTTCATATATACCTCATTTTGCCTTTCTGTTCTCTGACCCTCTCACATATGTGGGGTTCCCATATGTAGGAATTAAATTAGTCTTTCTCCTGTTAATCTGTATTATGTCAATTTAATTCTTTGACCATCCAGAAGAAGCTTTGAAGGGTTGAGGAAAATTTGTTCTACCCAGCACAGGCATGGTCTCATTTAATCTACAGAACAATATCTATAAGGGGGATACTTTCATTGTGTCCATTTGAAAAATGATACAATTGAAGTTAGAGAAGTAAGAAATTCCTACCCAAGATATGTAGGAAGTGGCAGAAACATGTATGAATAGCCTCCAAG